CACCGAACATCTCGACGGACAGGAAAATGACAAGAATTGGCTGTGGAATCCATGTCGTCGTAAGGGCGTTTCTCCCAAACTGCAGTCGCATTGGGAGGATCCCTATACAGTCCTCAACAGATTGAATGATGTTGTGATATGGATCTGTAAATCCTCAATTCAAAACCCAAGGTCGTTTATTATGACAGATTAGCCCCATACTATAGCCATAGTTCTTAGTGCTTCTGATTCTTAGAGGTACCCATAACTCTTATGCATGAGTTCTTTTACCTAGTTTCTGTGTAAAGTTTGTATATAGCGTAAATGTTTGTTTCTTTAGTTATGTTATCTGTATGTTTTAAAACCTTTCGATTGTATCGAATTTGGCTTCTGACCAAGGGTTGTATTGCCCCGGACGTGCAGTCCTTGGGACGGGGCAGTGTTACAAAATGTACAGGCACGATGAGATAGCTTCCCAGCAAAGCAGTTTTAGGGTTGCCATAAAATAGCAAAGGAAGGCAGGGTTGCCACATTTGGCCACAAAATTGGCGATATACCATGGACGAATGGAGAACCTTCTGGAACAAATTCTTACCTGTTTAGCCCGAACACAGCCAAAAGCTCTATAAACCCTGCTGGTACGCGAATAGTAGTTAGTATCGAGTGTGTGCCTCGTCTAGCGAGCTGATAGTCAGTCATTGAGCGAGTTGTAGTGTGGAGAGTCTCGAGAGTACATGGAGTTCCAAGAACGACCAAGCAGAGTCGGGAGCTGTGCTCTAGTGCTTTGCAGTGAAGCTGTCTCCACCGCGATAGCCTGATAACCTGAAGGCTGTGTCGCTGATCTTGTCAGCATGTTTATAGTAGTTCATGGACGACTGTAAAACATGTTTTGGAGCTGTTCTGACAATACTGGCAAATAAAGTGTGTTTCGATACTTCATCAAGTGTCGTCGTTATTTACTCCAAATCCACACAAACCCCGTACGTAACGTAACAACTGGTGTCAGAAGAATAAAAAAATGCAACAATACCTAGAACACTTAAGGAAACCCAATACATTTGATCATTATGGGACGAAAGTTATTGAAAAATCCATTGAAAATAGTTATGTAGTGTATATGACATTCAGAGAAAACGTAAGCGTAAAGTCCAGTTCGTATAATGTAACAGAATAATGTAACTATAGTAATATGAATATAACAGAATAATGTAACCATAGTAATATGGACTGTATTATTCTAAATTCTGATATTTATTAAAGTCGATTAAAAGTTATATGTTCTGTACTATAGTGCATTTAATTTGCTAAATTTCCAAAATAGCTTCGAGATGGTGAAGGGGGGTCCAAATGGGGCCTTGGGTCTCCTAAGTCCGGGCTTGCTTGTATAATATAACAGAGAGTGAAACTCTGCAAGAAAAAGAAGATAACAGTAATGAGGTTAAGGGTAAAATGCTTACTGTAATAAAATAAGGGTAAGTTCACAGAAAAATAAGGTAAATTTTGGCGAGATAGCGCGAAACTGGTGATGGTTTTGACAAATAATTTTTGTCTATTTGGCAAGAAGTCGCCAAAAGTCACAAAACTTGACAATCATTTGGCAATATTTTGGGTTGATTCCTGTATAACTGTAGGTCTGATTCCGATGTAATTGTAACTGTATCCAGCCCTATAATGCCTTCCAGCAATTTTGAGAAATGGAAGGTACAGGAAATTTCTCAGCAGCTGGGCAAAACTATATAAGACTGGAGAGAGTTCTCAGTTTTAGTTCAGAATTTAACTCAGAGTACTGAGAGATAACTGTGCAAGCTTTGTATTTGATGCTTTTTTACTTCCTTATACGAAGTAAGAAGGAAGTATTTTAATCGCAAAAAGTTTCAGACAGCATATTTCAACGAAAATTGACCGCTATCGAATGCAATTTAACGTTGTTTTTGCGTAATATCTATACGTAAGAACAGAATAAAAGACTCGTTTCCTCAAAAAAAAACGTATGTACGTACATATCTCGCATAGCTCAAAAATGAGTAGCCTCAGAACATTGAAATTTTGTATATAGGACTGCTATAACATGTAGATGTGCACCTCGTATTTTGGTTGCAATCGGCCGCACCAAATGTATATAAATATATTTATATATATATATCCACTCTGTTACCCGGCTCGTGATCTCAGTTTCTTTACTCTTATATGTTTGTAAATTGTACATTTTTTGCTTTAAAAATGATGGAATTATGTTGTTTTTCTTCTGGTTAAGGTTTTTATGCCTTTAGTAAATCTGTATGCAATATTTTAGAATTATCAACAATTTTCAAGTTGTTTAAGTGCCGCTAAGCCTTTTTTTTTTTGTTTATGAAGTGATTTTTTTTCATTTTGAAACAGCAGACTAGTGGACTTGTTGCCAATCTATAGAAACTTAGCTTCGCAACAACAAAGATAACGCCTTCATTTATTATTGCCAATTAAATCATGCTTAATCCTTTCTGGAATTTTTTCAAGGAAATAAGTGTTCAAGATTTACTTCATAATTTTTAATATAGATATTTTGAGTTTTTATGTATTTTTGCCTTCTTGCGAAGTGAGAACTGAATTAATTGAATGAGAAATACTCAATCATCTGTGAAAAACTGTTTCTTTTTTCTTTTGTTTGCTTAATTTCTTTTATACATCATTCTAGCTTTATTATAGTATTTGAATAGAACATGTGGCAACGATTAGATAATTCTATTCTTTAAATTATATAAATTTTGTGCATTATGAGTTATAATATGAACGAAATATAATACTCTTAAGTGAATCTAGCACCAGAGTGTCGCTATGGTAAACAATACTAGAGTGAATTTTAAAGAATGCATTTATTCAATTGTGGTTTATGTGCTGTCGGCGAAGTAGATTTAATTCAATCCAATAAGTTTAAATGAAATGCAAGAAAAAATGCCTATAATTCAATATTCCGTACAAGGAAGTCATGTGGTGTACACATCAGATTATTTTTTTATGTAGTCTTGTGTTTAACATTCTAAGTAGTTTGAATTGGTAACTGTCAATGCTGAGAAGAGCTGTACAAGTACTTTTGAGAAAAGTTCCAGAACTGTGAAGGGATTCTTTTGGGTAAATAAGTTTCATAAAGCTACCATCAGTTCTGTGTGCCTTCAATCCATTACAAACCCATACACAACAATATATACTGAATTTAAATTTATTGGGTGTTGGGAGTGATGAAATAGATGCAAGTAAATAACATAAGGTTTTAATTATTCTTTCCCTAGACTTAACAGGATAGGTAAACAATGTATGTCAACGTATAACATATATAAAAAACAAGATTAAATAGACATATGATAATTTGACCATGATAACACTACATCATGTCTGTTGGATCCACCTGGCATTATACCTGTGTGCAGACTCTTGATTATGAGTCAGTACATTGCTACATGGTGGATAATACCCAGGACTGAAATCTCACTCTGTGATGTACTGTTGCTGTTGTTCATATCTTTAGCAACTATAACCCATGTCAGCATTCCATGTCAAACGTAGCAATGTGATGACGAGAGCTGCAGCTATGATTACAGCCACATCAGTCTGGCTTTTACTCGAAATTAAATACAGTTGCACTTATCTTCTGTTTCAACATTGCATAGATGCAAGTGAGAATGCAAATTTTCCAACTCTCCCTCTCAGAGCTGAAAAGGGAAACAAATTGAAAAATATACTCATGACTTCAAATTCAAGACATGGTAGATTCATACATTTCTTATGTTTGTCCCTGCCAAGATGCTCTGTTAAAATATTGGTAAACATTTCTTCCTTAAACATATATTTAATATAATGGAAACAAGTGTCAATATGCTATGTCTAGTATGCTGATTGGGTTTTTCACGAAATGCTCTGCGCTTTGATTATCATTATAAAATACAATTAATTCTGCTACCTTTCCGGGGGGAACAAGTTCTTTCAACAGCAAATGCAAGTGCATTGCTACTTCGAAGCTTCAATTAACACTATGTATTCTGCTTCAGTACTTGATAATGCTATAATTTTCTGCTTGCATGATTCCAAATTAATCAAACTTTTTGCTAAGATGAAACTGTAACCACTAAAAATTTCCTTTTGAGAGTATTTTCAGCCCATTCAGCATCTACAATCAGCGTTTTTTCATTTTGATGGTTAATGAAGATTGGAGACTAAGTTTACTGACAGAATTTGCATTGTCAGCTCATGTAGAATAAAGCTAAATGAATTAAGGATCCAATCCTTGTTTTTGTCTAAACTTTCATTTCCTTTGCTTACATTTCAAGATTTGCATAGTTTAATGTTAGGGTCTAACAACGTTGATATAGGCTTACATTCTTGTAATTAGCCAAGAGTTCTTGTATGTTTTGAATTTGGCTAATTGATGTATCTTTATTCTGATCTATGCGAGATATCTGTCACAGTTATCTTATATAGATCATCTGATTGACTATTCTGAGGTATAATTATGTATTTTAAATGGAAGGTTTCATTATTTAAAGTAAGAAAATTTCACCCGTAGATTGCCAATGGTTTCAACTATGAATGTTCAGTAGATTTTAAAAATGTATAAAGAAAATTGCATACATAATTGAGTTTTTTAGTGAGCATGTAAAATTTTATATATAATTTACTACTAGTTTATCATATCAGTTTAAAACATGCAGTTTTATCATATTTCTTCATTAAAAAATATATTCTTCAAATAAAAGTTTATTAAATAGTATTGCTGAAAATGAACTTCATTCATAATTATGAAAAGAGCCATTCCATCTCTAGTCAAAATTTAATTTTACAACCAGAGCTTGTATGATAGTTGCATAAAACAGAACATGCATATCTTATGATGCCACAAATGCAAATATTAATAAACAAATTATCTGTTTCAAGCTAAATGAAAATATTCATAATATTTTGAACTCATTAGTTATAAATAGTCAACTAAATGATATCAGCAAGAGAACCATCTTTGTAGCATTCTTCCTATAAGAAAATAAACTTCTGTTCTTAACACAACTTCCATCATATCTGCAGATGGATCTTCCATCCATCATGCAATATTTTCTAGAGTTCAGTATTTTTTGGAGGTTTAGTAATAGATCTGTTATGACTTTGGACAATTTCAATCTCATGTATTTAAGAACACTGTGAAAACTACTGCGGTATTATAAGTCACGTATTGCCAAAGAATATATATGTATAAATCATTTAAGTGGGGGAAAACTTCTTATTTTATTGTGCTATGTTTTCTTTTTGTGAATAAATATATATATTTCATATATTAGATATTTTGTAAGAAAAAGATTTGATACGTTTTACCTAGTTTTTGGAAATAAGAGTAGTATTGTTTCATTGTTTTTATATGCACTTCTTCAACTTATTGGTTATTATTATTATTATTATTATTAATGTGATTCTATATATTGTGTAAAATTATTCTAGGTAAAACAAGAACAAATAAAAAAGGAGCAAGAAAGTTTAGTTAAAGATATGGAGAGAGCAGTTGAAAGACATACTAATTTGTATGTTGAAGCAGATAAACAAGCCCTGTTTGGGAAAAGAAGAAAAACTCCTGAATATGTTACTAAGAGAATTAAAAATACTCAGAAAAAAATACAAGAAGATAAAAAAGTAACTCATGAGAAATTTTCTTTTTTGAGGATGAAGCTCTTGAAATATTTTAGCATAAATCATTTTCTAAATTGTTCTGTGTAATTTTATTTTTAAATTACATACTATGGTAGCATGCGTTTTTTGTAAGAATGTGATAATAACAAGTCTCGTAACTATTAAAATGCAGTCAAGGCTTGACTTTCTACCATTCAGCTGCCCCGGAGCGGTAAAGTCGCTGAACACTGGTAGTTCGGTCCGAGGTTCGAATCCCACGAACGGGCTGGCTGCATGGGTGTTTTCATGGTTTTCCCCATGTCTAACGTGTATATGAGCCAGTTTCCCTTAGAAAGTCCTCCACGAAGGCATCCCTTCCCTTAGGCAGATAGTCCTTGAGGCTTTGCCATAATTAAATACCCTAACCTAATCTACCATTCAGCTAACTGAAAAGCTCAAGTAAACAGGCTATTTTGGAATTTTATAAAAGAAATGCCCCCTTCCCTGAAAATTTAATAAATGAAAGATTTTTAATGCATTTATAGAGTTTGTAATACTGTTAACAGGTGTACTTTGTTGCCAGACTGTGGGATTTAGCACCAATAATGGCAAAGCATGACATCACAATACACTCATACTAAGTTCATTTTGGTTTAACATAAATTTAATTAACTCTCTTTAAGCTAGTTTAATGTGTGTAAAGAAAGATATAAGTTCTATTTTTTCCTGGCATTTATAAAAAATATTTAACATTTTGAAACTACCTGAAATGGACTATTTTCAAAGTCGCACAATCCAGGTATAAAAAAAAGCCTTGGCACATAACTTTGAAAACAGATATACAATGCTATGTAAAGTGAAAAAAATATGACAAGCAGGTTAAGTTAATTATAATTTGTATCTCATTGTTGCTTACTAAATAAAGAACAATGTGTTCATTTAAACTTTTGCCGGCATGATTGATAACATCTCCACTAACTTTCATGTTCAAGGGCATTTCATAATTTAATTAAGCCTTTGAAATACGTTCAGCTTTAATGGAACTGAAATGGATTTTTCCCCCTGAAATCTTAATTTTAAATGTAAGCTTTTGATATTTAAGTTAATAATAAATAAGTTGATTATTTTTAAAATTTTAGATCAGAAATATTTCCTATTAATATGTCATTTCTACTGTGAATTCCACTTCTTATATACTCAACTATCCAGAATTTTCGTGTATCTGGAATTCAGCTTTTTGGGTAGTCGAGCTTTTAATAAATAAAATTTGGTATGCTTTCAAGCTTCATAAACTAAATTAAATTCTTTATCTCATTCAAGTACGGAATGATATATTATAGTTTATGTATAATGTACTATGGAATTTAGCTGTGCAGTTAAATGTAATAATACCATTAATTTTTAATTTGTACTCATTTTTTGCATAAAAATCGGACAACTTTGTTGTTTTAACAGCATTTAAAAATTTGTAGAAATATTAGTTATATAAGTAGTGAATAATTTACCTTAATGTTTTGATTAAATTAAAGGTAGTTTGTTTGATAAGTTACTACTTCTGAAGTAATTTAATGTACTTAAAAAACGTGAAATTTCAAGGTCCTTGAAAAAGAGTAGTTGAAGCCATTTTCAAGAAATCATTTCCTACTTTCAGTAATAGTTTATCTTTTCTATTGGGCAGGAATCCCTCTTCAGAAAGGGAAATGATGGGAATGATTGTTTGAACTATATGGGGAAATAAACAAACAATGCTTCTAACGATACTAAGTTTGATATGTACCCTGCCATCTCATCTGTGAAAATGGGATGTAGCAATTAAACAGAACATAGCCATTCTTTCAAATTGTAAATACCAAGGCCATCATATTGGCCATCCAGGTCCCAAAGAATCACTGCAGGCCAAATTATTTGAAAAATTGTGGATGATAGAGAAAAATGTTATTTGTAATCTAAAATTATAGCCTTTTTTAGTATTTAAAAAAAGTATATACGGAAAATTATGAAGATTTAAAAGCTGCAAGTAGCACTAAAAATGCATATCCCTTTATATATTATATATTTATACATTTCTAATATTAATATTTATATTGTGTAAGTATGTATTCATGATCTTAGATAAATTGTGTGAAGCAAACTTTTTATGTTAATTAGTGGCTGCCTATATAAGATCAAATGTTTTGCCTTTTAGATTCTAAGCTATCTCATGCATGGCGTGACCTTCCACTTTGACAAACTGCATTTTGTAGCAGTTAGTTAAAACTTACTTTTTTTAACAATGGGTTATTTCCTGTTAGGAATTGAATTTTAAATTAATTAGCTGTGTGTGCATTTATCATAAATCCATAATATTCTGGGCAAACTTGCAAAAATAATGAAGAAATGCCAACTGGAAATTTATTATCCATTAAAAGGGAAAAAAGAGCAAGTGTAATTAGCAAAAGCAAATGAAAATCCCACTGTAGACTAAAAGGCATTCACCAGAATATATATATATCAGAAAATAATCTGGTTAAAAATATAGCAAAGGGCACATACTAGACTAGAATAGAAGAGGCACATATTTGAGGAATATGGCAAAAAAAGGGGGGAACTTTCTCGACGAGGACTCAAGAACTTTGATATTTTAAGAGAAAGTCTTGAAATATTGGAAGGTTTAACACTGAGAAGTATTCAGAGAATTGCTGTTTAAGAGGAAAATCTTCACAAATTGTTAAGAAATGCAAAGATGTGTTGCTGAAATATCATAACCTAAATATGTCAGATTTGTACAGAAATTGACAATGCAATATTTCTGTAGATTTCTGGATTGCATCTTAGTCACAGAGAAGTTCTTGACATGTATCATAATAATATTTGACTTGTATCATAATGTTAGCAGTCCAGTACCTAAAACACATTGCAAATCAACCCAGATAATTTTTAATGACCTAATGTTAAGTATCATTTCTATTTAATTGAATAATCTCAATAAATAGAATAAAGGTCTACTTCATTTCGTATTATAGATTCTTTATAGTACATTCGAAAATAAAATGAATCAGACTTTCTTTGTGTACTATAGATTAGTAAACTCTGACCATTAAATTTATTCATCAAATAAAATTTAGAAGAAAGTAAGCAAAAAAAAAATAAGAATGATTGCTTAAAAATAAGAGAGATTGCTTAAACCAGGAATAAATACTTTTCAAAATTAAACAGGTTTTTGTTTTTTACATTAATCTTACTTGACATTTTGTCAGTATATAAAGATTATTTAGAGGATTCCAAATATGAAGTAACATATGTGGAAAAAACATCTTTTCTCTTGCTTTGTACCAGTTATTGTAATTGTATGCTGTTAAAAAATATTTTTATTCATCTACTGAACTTATCGGAATTCTCATGTTATACTTTAATTAGTAATGTTAGCTTCCTTATTTCTGCCAAGTCTTGTATTGATAAAATTTTCCTCTGTTTAAGGTTCTGGAAAATTGTAAACAACGAATTCATGCTTTAGAACTTACTAAATCCCAGCTGAGTGATATGTATGAGGTTGAAAGCAAACACACTTTGGAAATGATGGATAAAATTCATGCTATTGAATATGATACAGATAATAAACAACAAGAAAAAAGACAAGTTAGTATTGCAGTCATTCAATCATTTGCTATGTTTTTTTAAACATACAATTTCATTAGAATCTTACTAAACCTAAAAGAAAGATGTGACATATTAACATATTCATATGTAATTCATAACTGTTTTGCATCCAATGCAAAATCAGATGGAAGCCTAACTATGCCTTGAATTATCAGTTTGTTGCTTATTAAATTTTGAAACTCGATGAAAATAAAATTGTGTGATTCTTACTATAATTCTTCTGTGCTATTCTAATATATTAAAAGTCTCGTATGTGTGCAGAAAGTATAAAATACAGGTTTATATCTAAATATTTAGCATTTATAAAAAAAAAACTTTTCTAATTGTTATTTAAGACAGAAATTAAAAAAATTCGAAACAATTTATAACATATCATACTGAATTGGGCAATGCAAAACCAATCAACCATGTGATGTTTTTGCTAACTCTTGGGTACAAGTGATAAACTTTGTGCTCAGATATCTGTTTTAAAATCCAGGAAATGCTGGACAATAAATATGTTTCTGGAACAGTTTCATGTGTCAATATTAACAACTGATTGCTATTTATGGATGTTCTGAGGTTATATAGGTCAAATGGTTGCCTTCATTAGCCATAATATATTTTAATTTTTAGGCAGCAGCTGTATGTTTTGTGCAATATTATCTCAATTTTAGTGATCTAAAATTTTATTTTCATGTTTAGTGAGTGAAGTGTAAAATAATATAGGTTGTTTCAACTTTTCCCTAGGCATTTTTCACATTCATATTGTATGTTGTATTAGTTTGTTTTTATTGATCTTATTATCTTGTGTATTCTGTCAATGTACTAGGGTGAACAGATGTAAAAAAAATAATATAAAATTATATAGGTAACTCACAAAATAAATGTTTTATTTACTTTAAGTCATCTTTAATGCATCAAACCTGTTGTTAGTTGGATCCTGCCACTATTTATGATATCTTAATGATTTTATTCTGCATGCCATGTCAGTGTTAAATTTAAATTATAAAATATGGTATTGTGAAAATGTGCATTTAAATTTTAAGTTTGAAAATAAGGTATTAGACCTTATTCACATAGATTCTCATAGGTGATTAAATATTTCCATGATAGTAAGAGATCATTTAATTAAAACCTAAGACTACCATGTTAAATATATATTAAGAAATGAGTGAACTAAATTTTTGTTTCTTAGCTATATTTTTAAAAGTTTTATGCAAATTTTCCCAAAGAAGCTGAGAATTTTAATTGATAATTTGAAAGAATAACTTGACTTTCTATGACAGAAGGCATTGTAATTATAGATGTATGTCTCTTATATTCAACATTTTTGTTGAGAGAATAATTTTCTAGATTATATTCAAAATTTCTTGTATATGCAGTAACCCAGTAATTCAAGAAAATGAATTTCTAATTTTTAAAGATGTTATAAGTGCAAACTTCAGTAAAATAATGACTCGACTTATTTTCATTTATTACCCTCTTCCCTCTTCCAGTGTTTTGGGGCAATTATTAAATGTTTATTATCTTAAAATCTCATGAAATTTAATCTGAAATTATGCAATGCATTGTTTTATATCATGAATATGCAAAGTTATCATTTGGTAATGCAAGGGTTTTGGTACACATTAAATATAGCAAGAGTTATGAGTATTAATGCCCAAAAAATTATTTTTAATCAGTGCATGTCTAAATTTTTGTCTAATTTGCATGTTTAAATTTTTATAGGCTGTGATAAGTTTATCATTCAAGCAAAAGAAAACAAAGTTCATGCAAAAAATTCAAGATGGTACTTATATTAGAGCAGTGAGGAATGACACTCGGAGGCTAGAAGAACTGGAAAGATTAAAAAATAATTTTCGAATCCTTGAAGTTATAGCACACTCTGTAATAAATGAAGATGCAGAATTAGAAAAAGATTTGAACAAAGTACTAAATTACATCTATATATCAAAGCAAATCTGACTCTAAACAAAGTTTTCATTTGTTGTGTATTTCATAGGAAATATGTTTAAAATATACCTGTAATGATAAAAAGTTATATATATATAACAAACACACACACAATATATATATTGTGTGTTTGTTTAACTTGTTAATTTAAATTTGATATAGTTTTACTTTTTAATAATGTTAATGCTATACTTTTTATAGTATCTCCTATGCCTGATGTGAATGACTGACTGAAAAGTTAATATTAGAGAGATGTAAATGGTTTCTAAATTTAAAATTGCATTGAAAAATAATTTTCTATTAATAAACATTGCCATTTAAACGTCACTTTCTCTTAGTCAATGCAATGTACACTTGTTCATAGGCATCACAACGGGTCATTTTCATTATTTTATATTTCCTCTCATATTACCCTACTATTAGTATATAGTGAGCATTATTATATAAATGTCACTTTAAGTCATCATAATAAAAATATCACTTTGTTCTTGTGCACCTCAATGTAAATGTCATTTATATTACTTTACTGGGTATTATACAGTAATGAAATATTGTTAAAATGATATAAATTATGTTCAGTCTATGTACTAAATTTATGAATTCATATCTCTGAATTGTGAATTTTATTTCGAGTTTGCTAACATACATTTCATATATCTTTTATTTTGAAAAATGTTCTGCTATACATGTAATTTTGTATTTTATGAATGAAAGAAAATAAAATATGCAATAAAAAAGGGAACATAAAATAAACAATATATCATTAATTTTCCATGAAAGAAAAACACCAAAATCAATATTATAAATTGCTTATCTTTTGAAAGAATTTGAATTGAACAAAACTAGCTTTGATATAAATTCTTCATGGCTAAAATAATAGTGAAAAAATAGTGTTTCATGGGATTTTTACCTAAGGATTTCTTTATGCAAAGGATTTTATTACAGTACCAATTGCATTTTAATATAAAACGAATATCTGTGTCTTTTCTGCCGCAGTCATTTGGAACTTAGCTCTATATGCTTTCAGCTTTAAATGTAAATAAGTTTGATGTAATAAACAGAAAGCAAGCAATATATGCTCTTAGCAGTTTGTTTGCTTTCTTAAGATCCAGTTTCCTTTCGTGCTTGGTAGTGACATATATCATTAACTAACTGTTCTGAAACTTAAAATATCAAGTTATTTCACATAATTATAGTTTTATCTTGCTTTTTTTGAAAAAGTAATATATACACCAGTTGAAAATGTCAGTACATATATATTCAACCAAATTTATACTTAAAATTAAAAAATTAAATAATTATAAAGGCATATGTACTAAATATATTACTATTATTGTTGAAACTTCAAAGGTGATAAAAATGCAAAATGCGTCATTTATTTTTTTATTTTCTAAATAATTATATCAATAATAATAGCCTTAAAATGTCTCAGGAAAAGTAAACCCAAAATTTAATACTTAAAGCATAGAAAAGCTTACATGTTTTGCAGTTTTATATTAAATTTTGGCGTGTTTATAAAATAAAACTGTGAAATCTTAAGCACTGTTTTTCTTATTCATGTATAAAGCATTTCTAAAATTTTTATCAACTGACCTTTTCATGCAAATTCATGTAGAATTTTTGAATTGCAATACAAAGACTTCATAAAAGTCAAAAACATTATTAACATACATAATACATCTGAAAAGGAAAGAGTGTCCTTTAAGTAAATTGTTTTTGTGCTTGGATTTTGAAGGTTGATATTTTCAGTTAATTATCAAATTTAGTTGTTTGTTTTTACATAGCTGTAAATTTTATCTTTCATTTTTAATAATTATTATTTATTCATTTTTATTGTTTATAAATTTTTTTATTTTCTTCAAATTTTGTATGTTATGCTCAGAATACACTCTTTTATTAGTCACATAGAGGACAAGTGACATGAAACTTATATTTGTACTACTATTTGTTTATTTTTAAATTTTTTTAATTCTATAAGTTTCTTTACTGTAGTCCTGCATTATTGTGTTATTTTAGCAACACTAAAATCTCAAGCACTCATAAATATTCGCATTTTTATGCTTATATTTTTTATCTAATTTAAAGTTTAAATATAGGTATATATCTGAGATAAAGCACAGGTAAAATAAAGTTAATTTTAGCCTTTTATATCACTTTTTCAATTTCCTTATTTCCTTTTTCTGTCTTAAAAATAGTAATGTGCTTACAGTAAATCTTTCTGGATTTCAATAAAAAGTTTATATCGCTTTGTGAATTTCAAAATTAATCATTGTCATATGAACTCCTGCCAATGAATATAGAATTATTAGACAAATTTTACTAATCAAAAAAATTCTTCAGTATGATATATTATCGTTCTTGGTAAAAATTAGTGCTCAAAGCAGGCATGACGCCTGTATAATAGAATAGGACCTTCATTCTGTTTTGTTGGTTTTCAGATAACAGGTAATCATTAAGAGGAACAGACAGGGGCATGAATAATACGATGTTAAAGATGAAATTCTTGGGCCATTACAAGATGAACTACTGCATGAGTCATAACCTCATGTTGTTTATATCCCTGCATTTTGTACACAACTCCCGTCGCTACTATCGATTGAATGATTTAGTGAGGTCTTCGGACTGGCTCTCGAAGCGGTTTTCTTCGGCATGACATAAGCTATCTATAGTCAATAAGAAAAAAAATTATATATGATTTCGCAGTTGTAAGAGTCTTAAAATTTTATATTTTGAGCATTTTATCAATCATGAATAAAATTATCATTAGTTTCAAAGATATATAATTTTTTCAAAAAAGACAGCAGATAAACCAATATTCTGCATCATGTAAGTCTAGCATTCTGCTGTAATGGGGGTTTATATTATACTGCTCAACAAAACTAAAGGTAATAGACAAAAATAAAATTTAACTGGTATATTAAAAAATAATTAAAAACAGTTTGTACAAAAGCGTTTTTAACATAAATCACCATATTTGCCAATTGATTAATTTTAAAATACTGAATTTAAATTCAAATTTGTGTAAATTTAAAACTGATAAGAAAATTATCTACCCTATTTTGCAACAAATCTTTCTTCAATACAGTAAATAGTTGTCTCTGACAGAAATGCAAACGTCACATTTTGATTTCATAAGAATTTACCAGATGGTCTTGGAAAATTGCATGCCACTCCTCTGAAAATGTCTCTTTCAGATCATGAAGGATACAAGGAATCATTTTGACGCACTGCAGTTCGATGGCCTAAAACATCCCATACATGCTAAGTTGGATTCAAGTCATACATGCTAAATCGAATTTACCAGATGGTTATTCGAGTCTTGGAAAATTGCACACCACTCATCTGAAAAGGCCTCTTTCAGATCATGGAGGATACTGAGCAATCATATGACGTGCTGCAATTCAGCGGCCTAAGACATCCCATACATGCTTAATTGGATTCAAGTCTGGTGAGTAAGTTGCCATGCTCATTCGAGTGATATATTCTGTTTCTAAGTATCATGACACTAGAGATGCTTGATGAAGATGAACGTTGCCATCCAGTACCAGCAAATTAGGCCCAACAGCAATGCTAAGCATGGTTTTGGAACCCTTACATGGGTTCCAAGACCTCATCCACATATCTGTGACTACTTATAAATCATGTTTGGTAATATGAATATGACAAAACACTCGAAGGCTATCTGCTCAAAGGGAAGAGTATCTTTGGAGAAGTCTTTTCAAGGAAAACTAATGTGACCAGTTACAGAATCTCCATCAATGTTATGAGCTCGATGCAGGCATTTTTAATGATTTTACCCCGAACCATGAAACTACTTCCATGGAAACTAGATCTTTCAAGAGCAAGGAAAGGCAAGTTGCATCTTTCTCGCTTACTTCAGATCAAAACACGTGTAAGAACAACAATTCAGGCTATATCTGGACTTGTTAAATAGTACATTTTCCAAAGAACATGACGGCTACCCCACTTTAAGCAGTGCTCTTTGGGACACAAGCCATTAGTGTTCTCGCATTAATTTAATTTTCTCGCAGTTTAATCTCATGAAATCTTACAAGAGTTCATTAGATTGTAGCAACCTAAAGGTTTAAAACCAACTTTCTTGTAATCATTTCACAGTTTCTTTTAATCTACAATGACAGAAAACTGTCTACAGATGCAATTTTTGCCCTTGATTACGCTGTTTACCAATATTTACTGCTTAAAAATCGGTTCCAATTTCTTGATGTGGTACTTTGGTGAATATTCAGATCTTTGGCGGCTTCGGTTTGTGTTTACTCGCCCTGTAGAGTATATGAATTAACTATCATTTTTTCCTTTCATTTAAATGCTGCTTTTAACTTAGAACTAACGAATACGGATCACTTAACATATAAAGCAACACTACATAGCCGAATTCCAACATGCGTCTATTCTGCAACACGTCGTCAGTCGCCTAATTTACATGTTTCATGACTAATTTATGAACAGAAATCTAATTTTGCGTTCTGTTGCAGATGATTAGCATTAATAATTACACGACTGGCCATTGTTTGAAACATTAATCAGTCACCTTAGTTTTTGAAATATCTTTTAATTGATATCATTTTGATTAATAATTTAAATTTATTTCTTTTAATTGAATATATTTTAATCAGCCAGGATATATTTTTGACGAGCAATGTTCTTCACTATAAGATTGATCATTCTCTTTGCACAGGTGTAATCAAATTGCAAATGAATCAGTCATTGAGAGAAAAATCCAAAGCATTTACCGCCTAGAAGGTTTGTTACTCCATTTAATGCGATCGCGGTTTATGTATTTATTCTGATATTGTTATCGAATGCCTAAGTCCCGCTTGGTTGTATGCGAAAATATATCATTATTATTAATATAATTATAATATGAAAATATATCATTTATTATCATCAACAATTCGATAAATATAATTAAAATACTATCGAATATACAGAGTGTCTCAAAACGTCTTTGCCAGACTTAACGTTCTGATCTGTCATACCATGACAAACAAGATTTACATAGGAATGTTTTTCCGAAAATGAACACAAGAAGGCAATATTGTCTGACTTATGGGAGAGTGGGAAGAGCGACAATTTCGGACAAGGACGTTGCAGAAGAAGGAAGAACCGGTTTACTAACTCAGTTCTTTATGGATATTTTCTTTGACATTTTGTGGAAAGAGTGTTGCCGGATCTGATGGTTGACGTTCCAGAAGCTACACGTCGAAGCATCTGGTTTTAGCAGGATTGAGCGCCTGGAGCATGCTCAGCATAATTGAGAGTGGGAAGGGCGACCATTTCAGACAAGGACGTTGCAGGAGAAAGAAGAACCGGTTTATTAACTCAGGTTCTTTATAGATATTTTCTTTGACATTTTGTGGAAATAGTGTTGCCGGATCTGATGGTTGACGTTCAGCAGCTTCATGTCGAAACATCTGGTTTCAGCATGATTGAGTGCTGCACATTTTAGTAGCCTCGATAGGAAATATATATGACATAACTTCATACATGGATTGGCAGAGGCGGACCAATCGCGATCCCAACGTACTGACTCCCCTGCATTTATGCTTGTGGGGATACACAAAATCTATAGTGTACGACATGACCGTAACATCGGACATTGATCTATGTTGAACAAATCATTTCTGGTGAGATAGTAGTTTCTGTCAAGTTTAGACAAACACTTTCTCCAGTACGCCGCGACACTTCCTTAGACGTTTATTTATTTCGATAAAACAGCACTGGCACTCACATTTCTCGCATCCATGTCAAGAATAAATTGTTTGTCAAACTGAGGATACGTCAAAATTGTTCACAGGTGTCAAAGCCTTCCCAGTTTGTTAAATTCAACTTTACATTCTTTTGTCCACAAGAATTTTTGCTTGCCGTCTGTCATTTTATGAAGAGGTCTTATGATGGAAGAGAAGTTCTTCCTAAATATCATACAGTAGGTGCAAAGCCTCAAAATGTATCTTAGCTGATGAAGATAGCAAAATATATCTTAGCATTTTCAGGGCGTTTGTAATCTAACTGCCGATACTTTTTCTGGGTTTTTACACTCGCCTTCGCAAGAGATTAGTAGTCCGAGGTAAATCACTTCTTGTCTGAACAATTTCATTTGACAGGACTTTACTTTAGATTGTCTTCCTTCAATTTATGAAACACTTTCCTAATATTTTCTAAATGCTCTTTAAAACTTTTTCCCGATTATGAATATACCAACCAGGTATATCATACAGACTTCCTCAGAAAGACCTTTCAGCACAGTCTCCTCCAGGCGTTGAAATGTTGCCGGCGCATTGCATAATTCAAATGGCAGCACTTTGAACTGCCAAAGAGTTTGGACGATAGTAAATGTCTATTTTCGGTTATCAGAGTATATCTCTGCCTACAAATTCCACTTTAAATTGAAATCAGACGGCGAAAATCACTTTCTTCCAGAAAAAGTGTCCGGAATGTCGTCAATTCCAGGAAGAGGCAGTTGTCTTTCGAGATATCGTTCTACCGGTGACAGTCAACGCAAAACCTAGTTGAAAGATCCTTCGTTCTGACCAGAACGGTGGGAGGGCCCAGGGACTTGCTGAAGGCTCAATAATATCATTTCCTTGCATGTTTTTTAGAAGTTTTCCTATGATGTTCCTATGCAGTTTCCTATGATGAAGCAATCGGTAGACGTTTGGGATGTGTCTTGATATGTGGATGATCCCCTCGATCAATTGTATGCTGCGCCAGACTGGTTCGATCTACGTCAGAAGATGTGCGGGAGAAAACATCTCAGAATTCTTGAATGATATGTTCTGCAGCACTTCTCTCTTCATCGTTTAACTTTGATTCCGTAATAATTTTGACGTTAGGTTCTCTGAAGACACCGAAATCGGAGGTCTACTGATTTGTTTAACACAGAACACTGGAATACATGATGCAGCCATTTCGCCTTGTCACTTAACTTGGCCATTCTCGTTGGGATGAAATTTGGGCTTCCAGATGCTCATATTCACACACACACACATAGATCGTATTTTATTCTCGAGTGTAAAGATGTAGAAACATCTTTTTACTCGACTTCTGATAAGGATCGGGTGGGAGGAGAAAGAGTAGGGTGGAAGGAAATGTGGGAGGCGGAAAAAAGAGAGTGAGGTCCGCACTAGCGGCGGCGAAAAAAAACGGGGGTGGCAAGTTCAGTGTCGTTATAAGATGAAGCCGCGGGTGGTAAACCGCAGAGTCAGTTTAGCGTGAATGAGTCAATTAAGGTTGTAATTCTTATGTGGGTAGGATGTCACTGGGTACCGATGTTTTTCTCTGGAATAGGGAGTGTCTGAGAGTGCTAATAAGGCTATTACTGTGGGTTTGTACTGAATAAAAGAAGTTGACCGCTAATCGTTTAATATACTCTTGAATAAGTTCGATTCTGCTCATATTCGGGTGGAGGCGTACGTTATTCAAAATTTGATGGCTCTAGGGACCGTTGTTTTATCACAATTCGAGAAACATACGTTTATGCAGACGCTTCATTATTTAATTTTCTTTAAATATAACACAGGCGATAACATTTGGTGGCAACAATATAAAAAGTGATTCAGACTTTTAAAGTTTTCAACGCAAAATGCCAAAACGTCTGGGCTAACGACCTTTGGGCTATTACTAAGAACATATAGTGAATTTGAGTTTCAGAAAGTAGAGCTTCCTTTTACTCTGTATCACGTGAAGAACATCAGTAAAACAAAACGACGAAAGTAAAAGTCAGGTGACCGCCATCAGTCGACGACAAAAGTGACTTTCTGGTCGAAGGTCCAAATCAGTGAACTGAAGAATCTAGTATAAGTAAAAAATTTTAAGGATGGAGAATGTCAGAGGGATATTTGTGCTTTTCACTGGGAAATGGAGAACATCTAATAGAAATGCAGTTGTTAGGATGAGAACTGAATAGAAGAAATTTCTGGCAAGTTTTTGAATATAATCTTGAATTGTGCCTACTTTGAGATGACGGTGGATATACGAATTTGGAATGAACCATGCGCGTTGATAATCTCTCTGAGTGCTTTGTTTTGAAGAACTTGGATATGTTGAAGGGGAGTTTTGGCGGCGTGGCCCCAGACAGAACTAGCATAGAGTAATGTTGGTCAAAGTATAGATTTATATAAGAGGAGTTTATTAGAAGCGGACATATGACTTCCTCTGCCAAGAAGTGGGCGCGTAGTTGCAAAGCATGATATTAATTTTTTTTCACACTTTCCCTGAGATTTTTCTGAAACGTCAATTTTTTATCAAGAATGACTCCTAGATATTTAAGTTCGTGAACCCAGTCAATTTCTTCATCAAACAGAAGAGGTCTAGGTGGAGTGAAATTTGTTTAGCCTTTGCGAAAAATTATTGCTTTTGATTTTTCGGTATTGACTGCAATTCTCCAAAGAGTGAGCCAATTTCTGATGAGTGAGGTAATGTTGAAGAAAGAGCTGGACATCAGTTACAGTAGAGGCAAGGCCAACTAGATATCTAGTTGGCCTTGTCTGGACGCGGAGGTAAAGCACTCTTAATTTTAGCTCAGGTTTCAAATGTGTTTCCTGTATAAGAATTACATCAGGTTCCAGTTCCAGAAGAAGATCGCCAAATTAATCTTTTTTGTTAAAAAGGCCGTGAAAGAATTTTGATGTTTTTCTGATTAATATTACCTGGCATATTAAAGGCAATTACTAATTTTGTCAAGAATGTCCCCAATTGCACTTATTTTCGAGGCGAAGTTTGCTTCTTCATAGTTTTGAGATCTTCTATAATAACAGTCCATATTGTTTTTAATGAACCTAAATTAAATAATTCTGAAAAAGTGGAGCTTGTGGTTGGAATTTCAGATAAGTTGGCGTTTTTATTATTTTCTGGCTTCGGTGCAGTAGTAGTAATAACAAAGATGGCATCCAGAAGAAATTTAGCAGCGTTACTAAGGTTACGCTTGTATGTATGGCAATTACAGCTCCTTTTAGCAGCTTCGATGTCGTGTGTGTTGTATATGAAAATGTAAATCTAGTGAACTCGCCTGTTTTGTATATCTATTTCACAATCAGCATTTTCTTATATTGATAAGCCTTAAATATTTTAGTATTTATCATTTAAACAAATAACAATGGATCGCAGTGCTTTTATAGAAAATCTAACATTAGGAACTGTCAAATATTTTGGTACGCATTAAATGATGTAGTATATATACTCACTATAATTGAAGTGAACATTACAATTATTACTATTTTTTTTAATTATTAAATTATCCATGTATGCAGTTGTTCAATGGGATGTATTTTGATATTTCGGCGAATCTTAAATTATGAAACTCTTATCATACGTTTACAAAGTAATTACAGAGAGTAATTTTATTCATAAACAGAAGTTAAATTGGAACAGCTTGAGTATAGGACCCCATTGGCGATTTTTTGGCTTGGTCGCCAAGCCATGGAAGCCGTTAAAATTGAAAACACAAGTTAGAAAGCACGTTTTAACCAGAAAAAATTTTAGAATATATGTTTAAACAGCAAATTTGAAGGTACATAAGTAAGTAGGGGCACATTTTAAGTAGTAATATTGAAAATAGATGTTAGAATGTACATTTTAACAAGAAAAATTTTAAATACAAATTTAGAATATATATTTTAAACAGTGAAACTGAAAATAAATAAATAACGGCATATTTTTAGCAGGCATACTGAAAATACAAATTACAAGCTGTAAAATTGAAAATAGGAGCTCAGAATACATGTTTAAGTTAAAAATATGAAATTGAAAATAGGAGTTAAGAATGCATGTTTAAATTAAAAGTAAAGAAAAGTTTGAAAATACACAAGTACATGGAGGCATATTTTAAGCAGCAATATTGAAAATGCAATTTTTAAGTTATAAAACTGAAAACAGGAGTTCAGAATACATGTTTAAATTAAAAATAAAAGAAATGCTGGAAAGTTAGTAAAGTTTACAAAATCATGGTAAATTTACAAAGAAATCCTATACTCTGCCCAGTTTATGTCCCTTACAATTTCGAGAAATTTGTTGAATACAACAATATATTGCTCCTTTGAAGAAGATGTCACTTTCCAGTTTAAAACAGGTGGGAATGCGACAGGGTTGCCGAAGTGGAGTATTCTAGAATTTGCTGGGTTACCAGAAAAACAACCATCCAAAAAGTGCGCCAAGCCAATGGGGTCCTATACTCAAGCTGTACAGTTAAATTAAATATATCTTATAATAGGAGGTACTCAGTAAGTGACCTCAATTAATTGTAATTATTAGTAAATTAGAATTGCATATCTTGGTCAAATTTAAGAAAGAACACTTAGATGTTTTGTCTTTGTCTAAAAAAGAAGTAATTTTTCTTGTATTAACAAGAACTTGGAGAAAGGTCTAACTGAGTTATATTCTGGAACTGCTGAATTTTACACACTTAATAGTTTTCTTTTTATTGTAAAATTAACATTTTAAAGGTCATGATTTGGTAATGAGCATATATATAGTTAGAGAAATATGCATAATTAATTCAATGACAGTTGAATAAAGCATCGTGTTTTAACTTGATAAAACATCTTAGAGCTAAAACATAAATGCTGTAATTAAAAAAAAATAACAAATTTTTGATTAATTTTGTATAATTTTATAACTGCTATAATATATTGAGTTTTTTTAATATTGCATTATGTTATTAATAAACTAAAAAAAATCTTTAAACAAAAAAAAAAAAAAAAAAAAAAAAAAAAAAAAGTAAGATTTAGTGGATATTTTAAAAATTTGTGCATTAGTTGAAAACAAAAGTGCTCATATTATTTAAGCACTGTTTAAGCTATTTAAGTACTTAAGTAGTTTAAACTAAGTACTTTTTAACTATATAAAGCTTAAACAGTTCTTAAACCATGGTGCTTAAACACTTTAAAATTTATTTATGTACTTTCTGTTTGTTGAACAAAAGTTAGAAAGTTTCAGTTCAAATATACTGATATGGAAGCATCCTTCTTTTTAGTTTAATGTGCCTAGTACAAATTCTAAAACCACTGTAATCAATCCAAGTTTTGTTTCTGGTAGTTCTAGTATTTAATATAAAAAAGTATAAATCTAAGTTCCATTATAATACTGGACAGCATTAAATAATTTTTGTCATTAAAGTAACATTTTGTGATTCATCATAATAAAGATAATTGTGGGTCTCTCATAAAGTAATTAATAATATTTTCTATTGCTCAAAATAGCCATTTAGCAGCACAAATATAATCACTCTATTTATTTAATTCTTTTTTCAGAAAAATTACCTTGTGTCAAATCAACAGTTATATCAGAAAAAGCACATGTGCAAGAGGCTGCAATAACATTATGGGAACAGGTAATTTTAAATAATTTCTGTAGTAATTTGCAGTGTTACTTAAGTGTTTATCTCTTAATCATAAAAATTAGAAATATAGTATTTATGTATACTTAACTATTATCGCAACCACCTTAGAAGAAGTTGCCAAATTTTCAGTAGTCAATCTTTGGATTATGGTAACTTGGTGATTTTTTGACGAAAATTTGGCGACCAACCCTGCTACAGCAACCTGCTAGTTTTTGTTTGGATGCCATTTTGTTTTCACGAAGTAAAGACATTTTTTTTTTTTTTTAATACTAAAAAATTTTTTTACAACAATCTGCTAGCTAAATTATGCTTATGCTAGAACTTTTGTGGAACAAAAGTGCTTAATCATGACGAAGATTAGGTGCGAAATTTGGACAAAGTGTAGAATCGCTTTCTGCTTACCGCGTCTTTAAGAATTGCACATACACGGTATCATCCATGTACACGTCAACCTATTTTCACTTAAAAAAACATCCCAGAATTGCACAAAAATGGCATTGCGCACACTCTTGACTTTATCCATGTACACTGCTAAAGTCCTAGCTAGTAACCTTTATCGCCTTATCAAAATGTCGCAAAACTACCTGTTACCATATTCCAAAGATTAGCCTTTTCAGTATGTGCCAAATTATGGCAACAATGCACATAAACATTCTGATAGAAACAGTGCTCATAACAGTCCTTTAATCAAGAAACATCACCAATTTCATATGTCCCCCCCCCGCGAAGTTCCTACTAGTTTTATAAATAAAGCATAATATTTTTGGCCTTAATTTTAATTTTAAAGTAAGTGCTTGTGGAATTTGCCAGCAATGGAAGAAACTGTGATAAAATTTCTGCAAGAATAGAAAATTTTGCCGAAAAATCTATGAAAGGAACATTGAAAAGATGGATTTGGTAGATAGCCAATGTTGCTGAGGTGTGCGCAATGTTGAGTCTTTGATGTTTTTTTTAAGTGAAAACAGATTGCTGTGTACTTGGGAAGAAGAAGGAAAAACTATTTCAAGGTACCTCTTGGCGAAAATTGGTGATTTTTTGGCACCATTCCTGTTTATGTGTAGTGCCTTCCCATAATAATTAAACAAAACATAATTAAAACAAAACAAAAAAAAAATATAATCTCAATAAACTTTATAAAAATTTAAAATCAAAATAAAACAAAGAAATAACATAAAAATGAAAATGCATGTTATCTAATCTGCACAGTACAAAAAGGAAAAATCGACTTGCCTTATTTAGAAATTTCTGTGTTTTCTATGTGTAGCACGTAGAATACCTTAAAAGCACCCAAAAACTGTTTAAAATTATCTGAACTAGAATTTGTATATTGCCATCATATATTCACAAAAGTAAAAATAAAAAATATCTTCCATTCTGCTGGTGGCATTTCTTTCGTAAATACCATTTTATACCACATACCTTCCATATTGTTGTTGATCTGAGCTCCGGTTTCCAAATCCTTAAATGTCACTGTATAATTTACTGAGAGGTGAATGAAGCTGTTTAAATTTTTATTTACACACCAGTCAATCAATGTTTTCTCTCCCATTCATTCCAAATTGTACAGAAACTTCAGGTTAATCTTATCATCGGGAACCATTTTATGGTGTAAGCACAAAATAACCAATGTGCTTCCTAACCAAACATCCAATGCAGAAATAAGCCTTAAAAAATATTTTCCCAATAATCAAAATCACTGCAGTCATGCATTACAACCAATCATGTCATAATAGGGTTTCCAAAACATTCGCCATAAAATACTCAGTTTACCATAAATGAAACAACTTGGCCATAATCCAAGGGGTACCCTAAAGTATAGACTACACAAGAAGAATAGTACAAAAAATTATAGAATGATTTAGTGAAGAATGTATTTTTTTAATGTATCATGTAATCTTTATTTAATAATTAAAATTTATATTTTAAATTGATAAAGCGTGTTTTCTTTTCTTATGTTGATACTGTCTGCTGATTTACAATAAATACCAATAGTTTGAGAATCTTTCAAAAAAAATTTGCAAAAACCACCAGATTGCACCTGATAAGTATCTTACATATTCATCTGTAAAAAATTGCCAAATTGTGCAAACAATAATAAGAAACAAATATGAGGTATTTGCTTTTAATATTCCTATGATAACATGTGAACTATGCAAAATTATAGGACTTTGTAATGTTTGTAAGGCCATAACAAATTTTACTCATAAATTGAAATTGCTTTTGTTGGTTTAAAAGTAATAAAATTTAGACTATATCATTAATACATCTGAAATTATTTCATTTGCCTTCTAGACAAATGCTGTATAAACTTGAAAGTTATATAAATTATTTGAAGTTATACAAATCAGCAGCAAATAAATCTTAGTAGTATGACATTCAATTACATAAATCAAAATATAATAAAGCAAAAATTCTACTTAGTCTATAAAAAGAAAATATAATGTTAATATTAATCAATAACTCAATTACATTATATGTTGAGTAGATACTGGAGTGACTGTAATAAAATTTGATAAAATAATGTGAACAGTAAAATGTATTTTTTGGTACTATTCCGTTTTGAGGACCGTTGTGCAAAAGCACCAAATCTAGCAACTTGCCCATTTAACAGCATGCCATATCTAGCGTACGCGCTGATTTCAAATTGCGTAAGTTTAGAAATTCTATATATCTTAAGACACCTTTGAAATACTAGTTTAATTTTTAAATCCTTTTTTGATATCCTATGTATTTAACAATTTGGGAATTGCACACGACGAAAAGTCTGCAATAGAATTTTTTCAAAGAAAAGCCATCATTCATTATAGAAAATTATGTTTTAATAACCAACAAGATGAAATTAAGCTTTAGTGATAACTCGGTAACAAAATAGTGATGCAGGAATCCATTATGTTTAGCCCCTTTTTCATATAAATTATAATAATGATCTGAAATAGTTATTTACTCTTATGCTTCCATTCAGTTATGTTGAGCCTTTTTTATATAAATTATAATAATAAAAAAGTATTATATGAAATTGACCTTTCATCTAAATTAAAACAATGATCTTAGATAATTATTTACTAATATACTTCCTTTCTTGCCTTAGGGTTGCAGATATTATTTTTGGCAGCACTGGCATAAACAATAATTTGGCGGTTTTTTACGGTCATCAAAACGGAATAGTACCTATTTTTTTAATTTACATCATGCCACATTAAAAATTTTGTTTTTCAATCATTGGTTTTAGTTAATTATGCCAAAAAGGGAATAATATAATGTTATAGCTGTCGTAACATTCTTGGTTGTATGTGACTAAAACTAAAATTATGCTGTTTTGTAATTTTTATATAAAATTTTCTTTTTAGTTATGCATGACCAAGAATATTATAAAAGCTTAAATTTCTTTAGAGCATTTAATTAAAATCCTTTTACTTAAAAACTTATTTTATGCTTTTTAATCTATAAAATGCAAAGAATAATTAAAAAAAGAAAATCATATTGACTGAGGGAACTAATCCCTCTAATTTACATAGCAATAAAGTACAGTTGCTGTAATCTTTTCTTCAAGAGCTTGCCATCTATCCAATGATTAAAGGATGATATTCATTTTGTTCATATAAATTTCTGAAAGTTTTAGAAATCCAATCTCATCATTATTTAAAATCAAAGGGCTGCTAACAATAAATTTTTTTTATTTAAAATTCCACCATTTTCAGCTATTGTGTAATAACTAAGACAGTTGAATGATTTTTTTAAAAAATATCATTATTTGGTAAATTAGTCTAGAACATTAAATAAAAATCAGTGTTTGGAAGGTCATATTTTTACCTTTACAATAGAGTTAAAATCAAATGCTGTAATGACTTACTTGACCATTAAATAATATGTGAGAAATGTTCAGGACTAAATTTTAAAAAATATGTATCAAATTTGGAAGAAAAAACTCTAGAATACAGTATTATACATGCATAAACTTTCCAAGAAAATCTTCTTGTTGAAGGAAGTTAAAATTTAAGTTTTGACTTAAATAAACAGTGACTGAAACCAAACTAAATAAAACTGCATAAAAACAGAAATATTAGTTTTAGTGACTGTGTATATTTAAGGGAAGAAACACACACAAAAAATAAATTACAAATGCATGATCAAATGTGCAGTGTTTCTAGCTCTTTTTATGCGTTCATTTAGGTCCTAAGTAAATTTTATTGGTTAGATTTTTTTCACAATGCTTTCAGTACTGACCCCTAACTGTGCCACAGTTTCTGGTTTATTATTATAATTTTTTTAAATTCTTATTTTCTGTTTTGCTATTATTGCCAAATAGAGCAAATATTGGTCAGGTATAATAGCCATCAGTATTATTTTATTTTATCTTGCATTTAGTAAGTCATGCTTTTAAAGCATGAAAGAAATGGGTTTTTTGTTATGGCATAATTATGTTCTACATTTCTTGATTTCAGTTTAGTTATAGAAATCTGGGATTTCATTATTAATATCTGCCTCTCTATTTGATGAATATTTGAAATTAAAAAATATATATATTACTTTTATTTACTCTTGCACTACTTTGTATGTTATGACTATTTCTATGTTATATAATTTTTCTTGTTGCTTTATTTTAAGAAAATTTTAAATGGTGAGAAAATCTGAAATTTTGCCACTTTTAGGTATGATACTGTTAGTAGAAAAATACTGCTTTTTCTCTATAAATCAATAAGGAAATCTATACGAAAACATTTAGGGAATCAGGTTCGAAGAGCCTGGTTGCCAATTATCTTTTAGTTGTATAAGTTGAGGGTTTTTGAATCTTAGAGAAAGTTTCTGGAACTCGCCCCATACTTTTAGAATTTAGCAAGCTCTACTTAAAAGTGATTATCCCTACATCTACATTCTCTTGCAGCCGATACTTTAAACTTACGCTTTTACAAAAGTGCTTGAACCAGGTTATACTTTAGTTCATTGAATGTGAAGTCTTAGACTACTCTATCAACGTCAATATCAATTTCTCA